TCCCCAGCCAGCCTTGCTGGCTGGGGAATTCTGGGAGTTGAAGTCCACCCCTCTTAAAGTTGCCAAGGTTGAGAAATCCCACTCTAGAGTGTTCCCTTCCAGGCTGCAAAGCTTTTTTTAAATTCTGCCAGTGGGAATTTATTCATAACTTTTCCCTCTTTCTATTGTTTTATTGTATTATTACAAAACACAAGTAGTGCCTTATATTATTTGGGTCCCGCGGTATTTATACAGCACTGACTGGGAATTATTCACACTCTGAAGTTTAGATAACTTAAACCTTTAGAGATAAAGACACGGTTTGTCTTGTCTGATCATGAAAAAGCTAAGTAAAGTCAGCCTGTTAATTCTTGGATGGGAGACCACCAAGACATTCCAGGGCTCTGGGCTAGAAAGGGAAGTGCAAACACATCCGGACGAAAACAGAGCAAACGCTTCTGCACTGTGGCCGTGGAAACATCCACACCTCCTCAAAGGCAGGAGGAGCCAAGTTCTACTTGAAGAAGACTTTACACCAAGCAAGATCAGCCTTGCTGCGTGTACGAATGGGACACCACCAGGAGATCCAGTGGCTAGAGACTGAGAAGATGGAAATGCATCTTGGGAGGAGGCAGTTGCAATTCCCTTCCATATTTATGCCAAGAAAACGGCACGGCCATGTCTGTGTTGTCATCAGGAGTCCAGCTTGACTCAAATTTCTCCAACGCCCAACGCTCTTGACGTATTTCGAGGTGGAAGTTGTACGTGCACATTGCCACTTTCAAAAAAGGATGTGGGGGCAAGTAACAGCCCACCCACTCACCCTATTCCTGCAGAGACTGTTTTGAAAACTCTGACTCTAAAATCTGGTCACAGGAAGCCAATGAAAAGTTAACTTATGTTAACCTATTTGCCAGATATTGAAGTTATTGCCAAAAATGTAAAACAATGTCACTCTTCTCATTATTATTTTTTATTTGTTAAAAAAAAAAAGGTTTTTTCATGACCAGTTGAAGGGCTGCTCAGTGCCCCTACAGCTTATCTGTCATCTTCAGTTCCATCTTTTCAAAGTAACGGGAGATTTTTTTAAATACCTGGGAGCTTTTTGTGAAGTTAAATGGTGGGCTTTGTCTTTAAACGCCTCTGGTTCACGTTTTAGGAAAAAGTGGGGAGGGGGAGAAACTGCCAGGGGAGGCTTAAACAGGAGGGCAAAATCACAGCACAGATGAAGTGAACAGGATAAAAGGCTTTGCTGATTCGAGGTTCAAGGAAGCAGAAGAAGAAACATTCGGCGCCCTTCAGAGAGACTGTGGCACTCTCAACCACAGGATACGGTGAGGGCTGGTTTTTATGCAGCATCCCAGGCTAGTTTTTCAATGGCTACCAGTCACACTGCTGGACTTGTTAGGACTTCGGGGGCCGGACCCAGCAGCAACTTTTGACTTCCGCCTCCTGGTGCACTTTAGCACGGATAGTAAGGCTCCGGGGCTCAGCGGCACTCGATGAGCCTCCTGTGACCTGCCTCTTCACCCCTTTTAGGGGCTTTGGGCGAGCCGGTGGGGCTCCGTTCTGCTTACCGGTGACTGAGACGGGGTGAGAGGCGCAATGCTGCAGCTTTCACTGTGGCGTCCAGGAGAATTTGTTGGAGATGGGGTGCGGGACCGCTCACCATTTGTACCTGGCAGAGAAGAAGGAAAGGAAAGAGCGATGCTTAGAAGCAGTCCCTCTCTCGGTCACCCGGGGCGAACAGAAACCTCACTAGGCCACCAGGAGTGAATTTTTCCCCACCACCACCGTCGCGGAAGAACGTCACTACTTCTTTTTCTTTCAGAGGGCGGATACTTCACAGGTTGTTCACTCGCATACATGAGTCCAGATAGATAAACAAAGTTGTCCAGGATACAATAACACTCTGCTGTTCATGGCATTATCACCAGAAAACACCATCCTGGAGTTTCAAGCTTCGATTTCTGCAAATGACTGAAAAGAGTTGAAGACCGGTTGCGGCTCAGTCTTCCCACAGATGCAGCGGGGGGGGGGGGAATTGGGTCTTCACACTTGCTCCCAATGCACCCCAAGGGTCAACACCTACTTGTCACTAGATCTAGTCGCACAAACAGATAACACGCACTTGTCTTTTTCAGGTACAACGGAGGTGGAGAACCAACTCCTGCAACTTCCCTGCGGTCTCAGTCACCACTGCCACGACCACCGTTCCCAGAAGCCATAACTGAGCAGCATCTGGACAACCAGAAGTTCCCCACCTCTGCAAGGGTCCTCCAAGCGCCCCAACTGCCATTTGTTTTCCCAGACCCACAGCCTGTCAACCTGCTGACTGCATTAAAGTCAAAGCCATCTCCCCCCAACTAGTGCTGGACGGAGATGCTGCCTCACACATCTGGAGGGCAACTGGTCAAGGTAGGCAGCAAAGAGACTGAATTACTTTCCTTTTAAAAAAAGCTCCTGAGCCTTTGTGGCTTGGTCTGGGTCTTTATGACTGCCCATGGAAGAAAGTGAAGGGGGGGAATAGGAAACAGGTAGAGGGTATTAATCTTAATTAATGCATGCAGTCCAGGCATTTCCTCCAAACCTGCAGCTAAGAAGTTTGGGGAAGGTGCCCCCCTGGGTTGGGGGGAGTGGGGATCAGGCTCCTCTCAGTAACCTGAGACCCAAACAAGACGGGACATCGATTGCTTGCAAGACCTGAACATGGAAACTGTGACATTGGGCAACTGCCAAGGAAGGGAGCGATTGGAGAACGTGGGAGGCAGAGAAGTGTTTCTGCTTTTGTTCCCCTGGGGAGGGCCGTGCGAAGATCCCCCCCCTTCCTGAAACCCACTCCCCAGGGCGGCTTCCCCTGAGGCTTCCAAGAGTCTTTTAGTTTAGGATTGTGGGAGCGACTCTGTTTTGGTGAAAATCTAAGATTGATCGATCCATCAGAACACTGTGCAAAAGGCATAGACCAGTGTTTTTCAACTTTGGCCACTTTAAGATGGGTGGACTTCAACTCCCAGAATTCCCCAGCCAGCTGGCTGGGGAATTCTGGGAGGTGAAGTTCATCCGTCTTAAAGCGGCCAAGGTTGAAAAACACTGGCTTAGGCTCTCAGTTACCCGAGACAGAGCCCAAGACTGATCAGATTGAACATTAAAAACTGATCTCCTAATTCTTTGACCAAAAAAGGCCACCCTGGGTTATTCCCAGCATTCTTCAGTTCCCTTGGTCTGTTGGCAGTTCTTGTTGCTTGGTTAGTCCTTGGATGGGAGACCACGAGGAAATCCCAGGTTTGAAAGCTAGGCTGGGAAGTCGAAGAAAGGTCCCAGAAGAAGTGAGGGGCAACCACTTTTCCACTGTTTTCAAGAAAATGTCAGGGCTGCGTCTATATAGTTACTAGGGAACTTGAGTTCTGCTTTAATTTAGGGCCGGGGGAGTTTGTGAGAGTTTTGTGAAAGAGTTGGGGATTGGAAGCCCTGAAAAGTTGATTCAGGTCTCTGTTCTGCACATCTCTGCTTTACGGAAATAGAATATATCAAGGAAAAGGCAAGTAGGTCCCCCAAGACGACGGAATCTCGATTCTGACCACAGAAACAAAGGCTTAAAGCAGAACTAGAGACTCTTACAGAGTTGCTCTGGCAATGCTGAGGCCAACAGTCTCAGTACCAGAGGCATCTACAGGAAGGAAAAGTCAAAAAAGTCAAGATGGGGGCCACCACTGTGCAATCGCAGCCCTTTTTTTACCCACATTGATCGCCCAGTTGTGGCTACCATCTTGACGTGTTTGACCTTCCAATCCCCAGGAACGTTCGGATAGTATTCACCCACTTGGCTTAGCCCAGGGCTTATTTAGTGAATTTATAAGTCAGGGTCTTGAACAATTATAATTCAGGGTCTTGAACAAGTCTTTATTTGATCAAGGTAAAAATCAGGAGGAGTCTTGCGAAAGCTTCTGCCTTTGAATAAAATTGGCTCATTGGAAAAGGCGCTGCCAGGCTCCTTCTGATTTTTCGCCCCGTAACTAACCAAGTTCTCCTCCTGCAATGTCGATGGATCAGGTTAAATGCACGGGGCGGGGGGGGGGG